GTTTCTGAGGCTGGCTTCTGAGTTTTCCAAGAAAATTACCAAAAAAGGAAATTTTTAAGGAAATTTAGGATCAGCGGGAAAGAGTTTTTTAAAAGTAATTGATCTCTTAAATATATACAATATATACAGTAAATAGATATTTTATTATAATAAAATAATACAGGTTCTTACAAACCGACCCCAGTGGGTTTTCTTTTGGGGGGTACTCAATAAATGGTAAGCACCCTAAAAATTATCGACCACCTTTTATGTGGTTATGTTTTTTGGACCAATAAATTTGTTTGCTGATAATTTAAGTTCTGTGCGATGGTCATTTACAACAAATAAAAACAATTCTTGTTGATTACAGGCGAAAGATCGATTATTCCTGTTAGTTTTACTGTAAAAAAAAAGTTAATTCCTGCTTAGCCCGATATAAAAGGTTTATTATATTGGTTTAAACGGTGGAATAGTTTTAAGGGAATAAGTGAAGGAAATGTTTCGTTCATATTGTTGCACTGTAATTCTTTAATTTCAAAATTTGCTGGTAATTTGGCGTTCGATCTACGATCTATTTTAACACCATTCTTAGCAATTGATATACTTTATTTTGGTATAACAATCTCATATTTAGGGAGGTGATAAAGGTCTTGTGCACGTTAAAAATTCTTAGGGCTGGAACTTACGTACATGATTTTATTTATACATGTGCATAATACTTATGTCCAAAAAGTAATGAAAACCTCCTTTTCCCCATACGAATACTTATTTGTTACTTTTTTTGTTATGCCATTTTCGTAATTTTATTATCACTCAATCAACACAAAATAGGTTATTTCATTCACCCTCTTGTGACCAACTCTTGTGCAGAAATGTTAGATATTCACTTTATGATTCTCACGAAGCGGAATTCACTCGTCCTCATAACCAATATATTGCCAATTCATCTTAAGATTTAATTGGTGGATTGTGTTTGTAAAATTTCTATCGGATTCCATTGTGATGTTTACGCATGTATGTAATTTTTTTTTTCCTTGCGCAACTCGTCCGAAAATAAGGACAGTTGAGAAGAAATTCGGAATTAACGAAGCTTACTGCCCAGTTTTTTTTTTTTTTTTTTTTTTTTTTTTTTTTTTAATTAAGAAACCATTATGTACAAGTAAACTTGCAATTTAGTAGAATAAACAGGTATTTCGGGTTACCTGCCAAAGAAAAGAACACTAACTGCTCGGAATTAAGAAAAAATAGGAGGCCGACTAATATCAAAACCATTCATTGTATCTTGCGAATAGTGACGATTCAAGTTCGTTTCCTCTTCCAAAACAACATTATTTATCACACTTACATGCACACTTCAACGAAGCCACTTCACATAACTCTACATGAAAATAAAAGAAGAAATTGTAGAATTAATATATAATGTAAATGTATATTATATGTAAATTATATTTCTTAACAACTAAATACCTTCATTAAAACTTCTCGACTGCCACCAGCTTGACCACCACCACCACGATCTCTTTCGAGAACAAACAGTGCATCTTTCACCGTAACCGTCGGTACAACCTCATTCGTTCCGTTCGACTGATATCTGCCTAGACCGCTAAATCTTTCTGACGTGTGGAATGTAGAGGCGATCTGAGAATTGAATGGACCTTCACTGCCGTCCTCCTGTTTCATTCGTTCATCTGAAGTTAAACGTGCTCGAACACGTGCTAGCTTGTTATTGGACGAGGTACCATTTGTAGTAGAAGGATACGACGAAATTTCCTTTGGTGGCAACATCCAACTCTTTGTTAATCCTCCAGCAGCTACCAATGCAGTTTGATTGGTACTCTTTGAGATGGACTCGATAGTAAATTTACTTCTTTGTGATGCTGCTGAGGAATCTCTATCTTTCTTTTGTCGTTTATAGCGTTTTTGTGGTTGTGTCTGCGCTTCCGTCGATTCTCTTACGTCCTCCATCTTCTCGTCTTCCGCATTAGACTCTTGTGATGGACCGGCCAATGACTCTCGCCTTTTGCGTTCTTGCTCTCTTTCTACTTTTTCCATTGCAGCTAATTGCGATCTCACATCTAAACTGATGACTTCTTTATACATAGGAGGTTTACCATCAGTGCTAGGTGGAATATTTATACGTTCAGAATGTATTCGATGGTTTTTTGCAGCTATCATTGCCTCAACTAATTCTCTGATCCTCTCTTGCGTGGCAAGTGCCAGGTAAGTTAATGCGTCGGGGTGTGCATTTAATATCTTGTGTTGCAATGCTTTCATTTTAAGTTATGAATAAAGTGTTAACTTATATTCCCTTTCTCCAAAAAATTAATTACATTTATTTACCTATGGACTGTACTTTTGCAGCTAAGATTTTATGATTTAAGAAACTTTGAGTCCGCGAACGGTCTGGCTGTTGTATCGACATGGCAGACTGACGCGAAGTCAATAATTCGTACTCTCTTCGTATATTATTTTCTTCCGCCTATTAGGTTCATATACAACTTTTGACTACAGACTTTTAAAAAATTTTTTGAAATATTCTTTTGAGAATCCCACATACTTTTAGGTCAACTCCAGAATAGACAAGAACGTCATTCTCATAACTTGTTTTTTCATTTGGTCTCTCATCAGATAGTAGTGTTGTTGAAGCTGGTGCTGTAGCCCTTCGACTTTATGTGGCGTAGAGGTAGTTTAAATTATTTTTATGAACTCCCTTTTTCTTTTTCTTTTTTTTTTTAGCGGAAAAGAATTTTTTCTGAACCTTGTAATAAGACCAGATATCTATTTACCTTGGTATAGAACTTCCATTTTGCAGGCTCCCTAATGTGATGAAAGAAAAAATGCGTAATTTTTTTTTAAAAAAAAGCGAAAGAATAAATTTAAATAGAGTTTACAAATTCAGTACTGATAGTGCTTAGTTCAACCATGGGTATTAAAGCCAGTGTAGTAACTCACCATTAGTGCGCGGTATCTGAACAGGAGAACCGTATATAGCGGAACGATAACCTGCAGGAGGTTGAGGAGGAGGGCCCATTGGTCGACCTCGAAGAATTTGCGCTCCTTGATCAGGTCGGTTTAAAGGTGTTGTCGTACCCTGCATGCTCGGTAGATTATGTCCAGTACCAGCAGGTGATTTATTCATTTCTTCTTTCTGTGCGTCGAAATACATCCACTCTTATATGTCTATGGGAATAAGAGTTTTTTTTCTTTTCTTTTCTTTTTTTTTTTTGAGGAGAAAGTGAAAAAATTAAAAAAAAATTTTTTATTTGAGGTAAAGATACGTAGTCCAATATCTATAAAGATGAGGACGTGGATGACATTGTTTTGTTTGTGGTAACTGCATATGCGTAAGCCTCCATAATAACATAGTGCCGGCCAAAAAATCGTACAAATCATTTGGATATTCAAGGTTCCTGCTGACACAGACTAATGACTAATCATAGTATCGGATTTTTAGTTGGGCGGATTATAGTGTAAGTGTTGTGAGTACTTTTTTTGCTCACGGCGAATTCTTTTCTCCACTTATTCTTGAAAGGATTATAGGAATGTCAGAAAGGACGATAAAATGAGTTATGCGTTGAGTGAGAAATGAAAATGAGAAAAAACGAAAAGTCGACCGACTTTGAAATAGTGCGCAAGTTTATCTGTTCGATCTGTACGAATCAAGGCATAGCACAATGGTAGTACAAATAGTTTTTTTCAATTAAATCAAGTGATTATTAAATAAGCTTATTATAAAGTTTATTAAACATTTATATACTACAGTATATATTAATTATGTATTGCTAAAGTTAAATCTTATTTAACTTACTAATTTCTATTTTATATTTTACTTTTTAACTTTAAATATAATTTTGAAAAATATTTATTATTTTATTAATAGTTTAGATAAAGATTTTTTAATTTCTAATATTATAGTTTACAAATTATTACTGCAAATTATTATTTAAGATCTTAATATAATTTAAAATCCTAATTATATTTATAGTATATTTTATTCATTAAAATCTTTATAAAGATTTATTTTTAATATATATATTTATCCTATTTAAAAGTTTTTTGTTTTATAATTTTATAATTTCTTTTAAAAAAATTTTTTTTATTAATTTTTTATTTTTGTTTTATTTTATAATCTTTTAATATTTTATATTTCAAACTTAATTATAGATTTAATTAAAAAATTTTTTTATATATTTAATGTTTATTTTTTTAAATTTTTCTAATAATATATCAAATTAATAACTTTTATAATAATATTATTTTTTATATTATTTTTTTTTTATTAGTTTAATCGACAAGACAAATCTTTATTAAGATATCAATAGTATATTTTCAAATTACATGAGCAATTTATATAATCTTTTTTAAACTATCTATTCCTAATCAAGTCCATCAATTTTATCACATAATGACATCATTTTTGTCAGTTGTTCTGTTTTATTTAGGACTATGACATTCTAAAAATTCGCTATAAACTTTTTATTTTAATCTTCAAGGGGCTTGTGAGTTTGTTCCTTAATATGATCTTATTTACTACTTGATAAGTATAATTACTAAAATAATCCTTATTATATATAGTCCGTAGAGAGCTGATCCTAATCGTGATATTTTTTTATATATAGCAGTTATGTATTGATATCCAGGTAATTCAATGGTATATCATAAATAACATATAGTCTTCCATTGTACTATTTTTAACCATTCTCCAAGTATAGTCTACAGGAGATATTTTTTAATCAAATGAGGCCTTAGGTCTTTCACAAATATGTTCATCTACTATGGTTTTTATCGTGATGCTAAGGTTAATCACTAGCCTCGTTACAAACTGTCTTTTCTGGTAACCATTGATTTCATAATCCATAAAATCTTCTATTAATTCACGTTTGTTATAATCTATTATGTTTTCAACTGATGCAAATAACTGAAGTTTTCTAAATCTCCTATAAGAGTGTTTTTCAAAAAGAGGCGAATGTTCATATTTTCTATTAAAGACATAGATCAATTAGAATTGATTTCTAACTTTCTTTTGATATCTTTATATATTTCAGATAGCAAGGATTTTATCTTTTTTCTAGTGCTAAAACTGATCAGAACCTATTTAACCTGTTTTATTATATCATAGACAGATAATGGTTTTTCTATAGGTTTTATTATATTCAAGTGTATATATAATTGATTAGCATACATTCTTCTATAATGTATCCTATATTACAAAAATTATTCTTCAGTAAAATTGAACCGGTACTTCACAGACAGCAACCTGGAAATGTATCTACTATACTACTAATCCATAGGTACAGATGGATTTCTAAAGGAGAAGGTATGGATAAAAGTCAAATGTCT